TGCTGTGTCAAGCAGGCAGTGCTGCTTGTGACATGTTAGATTGCACTTGGTCCCCCATCCACCTCCCTACCCTACCTTGTCCCTACCTTTCTCCCGTTCCACCCCCCTACCCTCGCCCTTTTTGCCCACTGTGTGTGAGCCCATCAGGGCAGTGGAAGTGACGCGGAGGGGGCTACTGGAGGGGCAGCAAGCATTGGATGAGGATGGCAACGTTATCCCTGTCCCCCGTGACGTGTATGGACCCAAGGTGCGCTGTAACTTGAGCTTCTAGCCGGAGGGGATCAGAATTTGCTTGGAGGCAGGATGCTCTGGACGAGGATGACACCTACGAGGATCAGTATTTGACAATGTTATCCCTGTCCCTCGCGACACCTATGGACCCAAGGTGAAGCACACCTCTCGTGATCTTCATACCTGCCTCTAGGGTCACCTTGTTACAGTGCCATTATGCCATGAGCAGGGGCCCATGAGAGGCTGTACAATGCTTCATTGTGCTCCTCCTTGCTGCTCTTTCCATCCCTGTGCTTCCCTGCCCTGTGTGAGGCAGATAGAAGCAGCGAAGGGCCATGAGGGGCTGTACCATGCAATTGGTCGGGACTTCTATCTGCGCCTGCCCTTGCACAGCATGGCCAAACCTGGGTCAGTTCATCCCTCAGTTGATTCGACTCAATTGTCGGCACCATGCCAGTTTTTCGCTCGACTAGAAATTCTGTCCAAGCCGATTTCTGAGTCGACTCAAGAATCTGTACCATGCAATCGGTCTGGACCTATGTTCAGAAAGACGCGTCCTGCGTCCTGGACGCATGCGTCCAGACGCAGGACGCTGACCCTTGACCTGTAAGACGCACCAAAAGACGCAAGCCCGGGCAGGGCAAAAAAAACCCCCGGGCAGGCCAAAAAAATTGTATAGGGCTTGGGAGAGGGGGGGGGGGGGGGGGGGGGGGGGGGTGTCATACCACAACATTTCCCCAACCACAAAATTTTCAACACTCTTAGACGCGGTGGAAGAAGAAGGAATGCTCGAGGAAGCCATAGCGGAGTTCAGGTAGTAAGCTAAGCTAAGACCTAAAACCTCTATGGGTTTACAAAAGAGAATTGGTGAGGGGAAAATGAAAAGCCACAAAAGGTTGCCATGCTAAATGTGCTTGGTGGTGGTGGGCTACAAAGGTTGGGATTCGTAGATGCTAAGTGGTTGAGAGGTTTGAGTGAAATTCAATTTTGGTTTAGTTGTTAGGGAATGTTAGGGGGGCTGGTTTTGAATGGCGAATTGGGCTTGGGGTGGGGAAATTTCGCGATTTCGACATTCGCGTCGAAATCGCGAATGCCAAAATCGCAATCGATTTTTTTCGGGCTGCCCGAAAGAAAATTCGACGTGCGTCCTGCGTCTGGACGCGCGTCCTGCGTCCTAGCTGCGTCTTTCCGAACATAGGTCTGGACTTGTACCTGCGCTTGCTCGTGCACAGTATGGCCAACCCCAGATCAGTTGATTTTCAACGTGATGTGTGCATGCTGATATGCGCTCTTATATCAGCATGCCCCACCCCTACCTCCGTCCATGCTGGGGTTGCGCACTCGATGTGACCTGTGTGCTCGCATGATGGCAGATGTTTGTCTGGTATGCCAATTGCTGGCTGCAATACACGTCCCCACTCCCCTGTCTCCAACTCTGGCCCGTCTTTCTCGTTTGAATGCTCCTCGTCTCCCTCCCGCGCATGCAGGACGGTCTTGCATGGAACAGAGTTCAAGTTGGAAAAGAAGTGAGCACTCACCTCCATGCACCACCTCTCTCTATCGCCCTCTCATTCCGACTCTGCAATCTCAAGGCCTCATTGTCCCATGCTCTCACCCTCCTTGCTACCCACGCTTCATCCCCCGTTTCGCCCGGCTACCCTCCTCTACCCAATCCATCCGGTTGTTCCAACCCCCTCCTTCAATCGCGCCCGCCGTTCTGCCCAACCATCCTGCTTGTCCCGCTCCTCAGGGCGCTGTCAATCGACTTTCAGACGTACACCAAGAACTCTGCCACGCAGTGGGGGCAGCTGGATGATGAGCTCACTGCCGCCTGGGAGGTGTGTGCTTTCTTACTGGTACTGGTGCTGGTGCCTGTGCTGCTGGTATGGCGTTGCACTGCTGGTACCAGTGGTGCTGTTAAATTGACTTCCAGACCAATACCAAGAACTCTGCCATGCAGTGGGGCCAGCTGGATGACGAGCTCACCTCAGCTTGGGAGGTCAGTGTGACCGTTACTGTCACTGGTGGCGGTGCCTGTGCTGCTGGTACTGTTGCTTGTGCTGCTGGTATGGTGTTTCAGATGTACACCAAGAACTCTGCCACGCAGTGGGTTCAGCTGGATGATGAGCTCACTGCGGCCTGGGAGGTCAGCGCTGTCATTGCCTGTACTGCTGCCTGTGCTGCTGGTGCTGGTGCCGGTGCCTGTGCTGCTGGTGCTGGTACTGGTGATGGTTCTGCTGCTAGTATTGCCTGTGCTGCAGGTACCGGTGCTGGCTGTGCTGGTGGCGCAAGCAGTTGAAGAGGGGGTGGTAGGTGCGCTGATGGCACTCTTTATGGTTGTGCTTCCAGGCACCACACTCCCCGTATAACTCCTTATCCCCTCCCCTTCTCCCTCTCCCCCATGTAACTCTTCCTCAATGCAGAGCCTGTCAGCGGTGGTGCTAGATCTGCCCACGAGGGCCACGGACAGCAGCCTGTACCAGCAGCGCATTCGGGAGAACATTCTGCGCATCAGCTACTACTGGTTCCAGCTCATGCCGCTGTCCCGCGGGTCCGCCATGGTGGGGCTTGTTTCCATCCTCGGCCTTTCCATGGCTGCTGACATGGAAACCACTGCGCGCATCCCAAGGGATGTCCTGGTAAGTCCATCCTTCCTTAACCCCTCTATTCATCTCCATCTTCGGCCTCTCCATGGCTGCTGACATGGAAACCACTGCGCGCATCCCAAGGGATGTTCTGGTGAGTCCGGTATAGTGCTGGTGGTAGTGCTTCCGCTTTCCATCTCTCCATGTCTCCACGTAAATCACTCCCGCATCCATAAGGATGTGCGGTAAATGACACAGCGGCACCACATTGCGAGGCGTAAAGGGTTGTTTTCCGGTTTGCTTGCTGGTGTGTGTCAGGTTGACTGGGAAGGGCTGTTTGCAACTCGCTTTCAAGACTTCTACGATGCGGTTGCTCCTTGGCTCTATTCTTCTGTTAAGCGGTCGCCTTGGCACCTCCCTATTGTGCGAGAGGCGCTGCCAACCACACGCCACGTACTGGCTGCTCTGAGCTACAAATGATGCGTGTCCTGGTGTCCTTTATTTTAGGTACGTGCCATGTAATGTGATGTGTGCTATCTAAGAAATGAATTCTATCACTTCTATAGTAGTTTTTTTCAGAACGCACCCCTCTACTTAGTGAAGTGGTTCGCGGCGGTGCCTCGATGTTGACGGGTTTGCGTTGCTGATCCCATCCAGTGCGCATGAAGCATGTTACACACATTTCACAAGGAAACTCTGAACGAAATCCTGGCTAGGCTGGTGATGTGAACTGGGTCATACCATGGATAGAGATCTTTCGAGATCACACGACGCTTCTCGGTAAATGTTTTCGTGATAGGAGCAGCGGGTTGTCTAAGGCTTTCAGTTCATGATTCGTAGTGAGTTTGATGCTGATTATGTAGCCTACAGTCGTCCACTAGAAGATTCAAAACAACATTCTGAAGTTCGTAATCAGCAAGTCCATTCTAAAAAAAGTGGTTTACTTACGCGTGAATGCGACAGCGTTCTTTTAATCATGAGAATATGGATGCTTCACGCAATGATTGACATTAACGTCGACTGTATTTTCAGGTTATTGCCAGCAAGAGCCGTGTGACCGGTGCATGTAACTGGCCATAATGCCGCGAAACTCTGGCAGAACCCGAAGTTTCGCTCTAGGGGATATTTAACAAGCCTGAATCCAAAAGTGCCGGTCCTATCAGCGCTATGGACAATATCAATAATGGTGAGTATGATCCGTCAACATGTCATGAACCCTGGGTTTGAAGTCAAGAATGCAGGTTCGTTGCTTGAGCATAGTTCAGAACTAACGACTCTGCTATGTTCTGCAGGTAATGATGAAACTTTATCAACAATGCAGATTGTTGTCCATTATCCACAAGTTTCTGTGGGTCATGTATTGGTGAGTGTTATGTCAATCAAGATTGTAGCTCACTTACAGAGTAACTGTTGTTGCGGGTATCTGTCAGGAATTTACTGAAATCGTTCACATCATCAGTCATACGTACTCTGAAGCAGGGCTTCAGATTCGTTTTGGGCCACCCTTAGTAATCAGAGTTCTAGGTATAGTCAACCCTGATGCGTCAGGGTAAATTTTTTGTTTCGCTGACAAATGCAGGGTAAAAAAACAGTTAGTCTGTTTGGGCAGGGTATTGTTTAAATAATTTGTCTATTGGAAATGCCGAAGAAGTCAAGATCAATGGCAAGTGGTGTCAGAATGTAATTGTATACATTACTATAACTGTCTGTAGTGTAGACCTAGTGTAGTTATATCGCTTTCATGTTAGGTGGTGCACCCTTTTCCTTCACTATATCCTGTACAACTTTCTATAGTGAAACTCTCCATTCTCTCGACACATTTCTCATTTTCAAACTTGCTCGATACTTCCCTCCTACTCAATCTTCTCCTACCTCACTAGCCATGGCTCCTAAGCCTCGCTCAGAACTTTGACATGCTATCAGAGCTACCAAGGTCCTGACTTGTGGGCCCACCCTACAGCTTCCGTTGCCAATCTGTGTTCGGCACGCCCCGTGACGTGCCCCTTGCCCTACGGCCCCGTCGCCTACCTGCGGCCCTACGGCCCCGTCGCCTACCTACGGCCCTACGGCCCCGTTGCCTACCTGCGACCCCGGCCCCGTCGCCTTCCTGTGGCCCCGGCCCCGTCGCCTACCTGCGGCCTCGGCCCCGTCGCCTACCTACGGCTCTACGGCCCCGTCGCCTACCTACGGCTCTACGGCCCCGTCGCCTACCTGCGGCCCTACGGCCCCGTTGCCTACCTGCGGCCCCAGCCCCGTCGCCTTCCTGCGGCCCCGGCCCCATCGCCTACCTGCGGCCCTACGGCCCCGTTGCCTACATGCGGCCCTACAGCCTCATTGCCTACATGCGGCCCCGTCCCCTACCTGCGGCCCCGTCGCCTCACTACGGCCCCGGCCCAGTCGCCCACCTGCGGCCCCGGCCCCGTCGCCTCCTTGCGGCCCCAGCCCCGTCGCCACCTGCGGCCCCGCCCACTTGCGGCCCAGTCGTCACCTGCGGCCCCGTCGCCACATGCGGCCCCGTCGCCCGCTGCGGCCCCGTCGCCATCTGCGGCCCCGCCACCTTCGGCCCCGTCGCCACCTGCGGCCCCGCCTACCCTTGCGGCCCCGTCGTCCACCACGGCCCCGTCGCCACCTGCGGCCCCGCCCACCGTGGCCCCGTCGCTCACTGCGGCCCCGTCGTCACCTGCGGCCCTGCCACCTGCGGCCCTGTCGCCACCTGCGGCCCCGTCGCCCACGTCGGCCCCGATGCCACCTGCGGCCCCGCCCACTTGCGGCCCCGACCCCGCCCCGGCCATGCACTGTCGTCAGCCGCGGCACACCGGGGGCACGTGCACCGCCCCCCCCCCCCCCCCCCCCCCTTTTCCCGTCACCTGTCGAGGTGACCTGAGGGGGCCGCGCGGGAGGGGCGACCTGGAAGGCGTGGGCAGGCGTCGCCCCCTCTGTCGCCTGCTTTGGCGCCCGGGGAGGCCGTGCGTCGGCCCCCCCCCCCCCCCTTCCCCCTTCTCCTTCGTCTCCCTGCAGCTGCAGGGGGGAGGTTCTGGGGGTGGCGGGTGTGGGGGTGATGGATGTTGCGCTTCCCTTCCCCTCCTCCTCCTTTCGTTCCCACTTCTGCAGCTGCTACTGGGGGGGAGGGTGTGAGAGTGTAGGGGAGCCGGGGGAGTGGCACTGGGGTGGCGGATGTGAGACCAACCAGCAGCCGTCCCTCCACCTCTCCTCTCTTCCCCCCTCTGCTGCTCCTGCAGAAGTGTGTGGGGGAGGGGGAGGGGGAGGGGGAGGGTGAAGGGATGGAGTGGGTGACAAACTAGCTCTATTACCTTGTCTGTTGTTGCTGCTTTCTTTGCACTTGGTGTACCTCTGCAGGAGGTGTACTGCACACGGTTCTTCACTGCAGGCAGTTAGGGGGTGTGTCAGAATGTAATTGTATACATTACTATAACTGCCTGTAGTGTAGACCTAGTGTAGTTATATCACTTTCATGTTTAGTGGTGCACCCTTTTCCTTCACTATATCTTGTATAACTTTCTATAGTGAAACTCTCCATTCCCTCGACACATTTCTCCTTTTCAAACTTGGTCGATACTTCCCTCCTACTCGATCTTCTCCTACCTCACTAGCCATGGCTCCTAAGCCTTGCTAAGAACTTTGACAAGTGGTTTAGCTGGTTTTTGTGCATTAGATCCGTAAGGTCTCAAGTTCGAATCTCGCCAGTGAGATCATTTTGCAGGGACCTGTATAGTGTTTCGTCTCGCTACGGAGCACTCGGTAACAGTATAGCTGGGATTGTACACAGTACAGTCATAGTAATGTGTTCCTTATGCTGTTTTTCAAAGGGTATTGAAAAACTTACACTTTTTGGCCTAGGGTAAAAAATCCACTACCCTGCCTGTGAAAGGGTAACTGAAAAAAAGCGGCCGCCAGTCAGTGCAAAAAGGGCATTTTACCCTGATAACGAGAGGCCTGCTCCGAAGCCATGCCAACTGTTCTGAATCATGCATTTTTACCACCAACCATGGCCAACAGGTTCAATGTTCAGAATTCTGGTTGTGGATCCTCTCAGTTGCTTCTTTGATGTATTGAATGCCTGACGCAAGACAGTCAATAAGGATTGAACCGCTACCCACCAGTCTGAGCAGTGATGCATATATTGTAAAGGAAGCCGGCCTGACCCATTCTAATCGAGACACTGCTGTGCTGTGCATGCCTGGTCAGTGGGTGGAGTTACAACGTTCTGTGCATGCCTGGTCGGGGTATAGCTGCTGCATTTTGGCCTCAGTTGTGTCTGACTGGTGAATCTCTGGTGCCTGCAGGTATCAGTTCAAGCCTCTCACTAGAGGGTATTTCCGTTCTGGGTCTGTCCCTGACTGCTGACATGGTAACCACTGTTTTTATTCGTACGGGAGTGCAGGTGCGTTCTGTCACACCCTTGCAGCAGGGCTCTCGTTATCAGACCAAATTGGTCTGATTTTCTGATTTTCGGACCTTGATTTTGGGTCTCATCTGATTTTCAAGACGAGGATGTTTACTTCGTCTGATCCGTAAGATACGAATTTTAGTTCATCCCATTTTTCAGAGCAAGCCTTATACTTAGTCTGAAATTTCAGATAGCGGGTTGCAATTCGTCTGATACAGAACCCCCTCCCCCCCCCCGATCCCTCGCTTCTCTAACAGCTCAGCCCCCCTTTAGATGCCCTCGCTCCTCTTCAAGGCCTAGTCCAGACCTTCTCCCCCTCCCCCCCTGGTCTACTCCCCATGCCCCTCGTGAAGTCTCGCAACAGCCCAGCCCCCCCCTTCCTTCTCGCGTCCCTCCACCCAACTTGATCCCTCGCAGCACCTCAATGCCACGTGCATCCCCTCAACAGCCACACGCCTTTCAGCTAGCGAGCTGTCAGCGCCGCGCCAGGGGCGCGTTTATAAAAAAGAACAAGTGTGATTATGCTAGACAAGGGTGTTAGCTGAATCAGACTATGCAAATTTAATAGTCTGGAAAATCAGACTAAGCTCCAGCATTCGTCTGGAAAATCAGACCAGAAAAATATGCCCGTCTGATCGTCAGACGGAACGATTTTTTACTTGGGTGTTTTCAGACAGGCCCAAATCCTAGCAAGAGCCCTGCCTTGCAGTCATCGGTCAAGTCAAGAAGCCCTCAAGCCCTGGATGTATTTTTGATGATTTCCCTTTTGATTGTTCTTGAATGTGATTATGGTCTATCCTAAATATGTGCGTTGCAGGTTGATTGGGACACACTTCTTTCTTCAACGTTTGCATCGTTTATCAGTTCTGTGGCGCCATGGATATACCGTATGAGGGCTTGAATCCTGCACCTTGGGACTTGCCTCGTGCGTGCATGATGCACTTCTCAAAACACTTGTTCTCAGTGCAGATTTAGGTGTGCTCAGTTTGTAGATGTAAGTGTGCAAGCATGCTCCATTCTGTAGCCCTTTTTTTCTTACAAATTTTGTAGCGAGCATTCTAATGCGAGGATTGACATGTCAATGTTTCCAGGACCAGGACCATTCATCACCTCTTTCATTTGAAGCTGTAGTCTCGCCTCGCCTGAGAACCAAAGCGGGTATCTTCCACTCCGTTTGGTTCACGCAGCAGCCGAATCAAATTCTGGACGTGATCGAGCTGATTACTGCAGGATTTCGTCGCAGGACTTCACTGGAGACTCGATCGCATTGGTCGCAGGTTTCACATCAGACTTTCCAGTCGCATTAGTCGTAGGACTGACGAAACAGACCTGGTCGCAGGACTGACAAAACAAGCTTAGTCTGGGTCGGGTCGCGAGCTCGACCCACCTGACCCGGACATCGACCTGCGTCAATGCGGACCTCCTAAGAACGTCGAAACCTCGTAATTCCATCGTAGGCGCGAGTCCATCCGCCGCCTCTTACTGATGGTTCTGAGGCGCCTCGGACTTAAGACTCCGCCACACCTAGGCCCTTTAGGATGGTGCCTTCACCTCGTGCAGTTCGTGCGACGTTCCTATGCCTTTCGCTGAACCTCACCCTGTGCAATGTCTTCACCGGACGCTACTATACCGCAACGAATTTCGCCCCTCCCGCAACTCGCAATCGGGAGGGTGAATCGCCAGAGGCGACAGCGGGGTTCGTGCTGCCGAGCTCGGCGCGCAGCTGCGACGAGGATGAGAGGACCAACGGAGCCAAGGGTTTGCTTCCTTCTTTGGAAAAGCTCACATGGTGCGATTCGCAAACGCTCAGTCACATGGGTGTCTTTGTTCGCTGTCGTTGGCGCATGGATTTCGAGACGACTTGAAATCCATCAGGAGCCCATTCAGCTCATTCGTCCTCTAGTCTTCGTCTTATGTCCTGGTACTTCTCCTCCGCTTTTGCCGCTCTGAATTGCTTCTGGTTGGGGTCACCGTTGTGGAATTCTAACTCCTTTCTCACCATTATACTTGAACCGCACGTCATCCCCAGGAATCCGTCTTTATGTGACTGGGAGGTGCATTTGCTCGCGTCAGTGCCAGCTCAGCAACTGACAACAAATGACCGTCGTCAACGCGTGGATAATCACATATGCCTTCTTCCATTCACTAGAAAAGGTGCCGGCATGCATGAACAATTTTCACAAAACATCCCGTAACGTTTCCTTTCTGCCTTCCCACTCCGTCTGGCTCCCTTTAATTCTCACCTGCGTAACTTTCCCTTTGATATCCCCCCCACTTTTCCCTGCCACAGGAACTAAGCTGTTCAAGCTCCTTCCTCCGCCTCCCCCCTCCTCGCCTCCTCTACCCTCCTGTGATCTCCCCTCCCTTGTGCGAGGGGGGAAGCCGCTGCTGGGGGGAGAAGATCTGTGCGCCCTGATGCGCCTGGATGGGGGAGGGGGAGGAGGAAGAACCGCTGAGGGAGGCACTGGGAGAAGCTTGGGAGAAGTAGGGCGGGCAAGGAGTGGAGCGGCAGAGGAGAAGTTGACAGTTGAAAAAAACAGAAGCGGGTTGGAAGAGGCACCGGGTATCACGAGAACGGGAATAGAGAAGCAGGCGACGCAGAAACAAGAGAGGAAAGCAGAGGCAGAGAGGAAGAAGAGTGAGGAGGGTAATGAGGAGACGAAAGAGGAGAGGCTGAAGCGGATAATGAGGCAGCAGGAGCAGAAGGCAGAGGCGGACAAGCAGCAGAGGCAGACAAGAGCGAAGCAAGGGCTGGGCAGTGGGGCTCAGGGCATGAGAGCGGATCCCGCGCACCACTTGGTGCTCGGCAGAGCGTTTACTGCGGTAAGATGAGACGGTGCTACTTTGATTTGGTTGCGAGTCGAAAGGCGGAGAGAAGGGTATGAAGGAGCTCTGCATTGTGAGGCTGGCGGACGTTTTTGTTCAGAAAACAAAAGGAATATACCTGAAGAGTGTAGGAGTGGCTTCAGTTCACATGTACACCTGTACTATGCTTTGCTTCACCTTTTCATGACATTGTCTCTACCCCCCCCTTCATCCGTTCTCGACCCAACAGTTACGGCAGGGAAGCTACTCGGAAGCTGCTCTTGAATTCAGCAAGGTGAGCAGAAGTGACCGGGGCTTTAAGCGAGCATTATTGCTTTTTTCTTCATTGGTGGTTCGTTAAGGGAGGGATGGGAAGCTTTGCTCCTTCCAGCTCCTCCTCGCTATCTGTATTGACACCCCACCCCTTCTCCATTATCCCCTGCTGGCAGCTTGAAAAAGTGGATCATCCCGAGGTGCAACAGCACGTGCTGTTGGGGCTTGAGACGCTGCAAAACGTCTCATCACTTGGGTTCACATCCCCCACTCCATTCTCTCCCCTCTCACCATTCGCTCCCCCTGGCAGCTGGACAGAGTGGATCATCCCGAGGTGCAGCAGCATGTGCTGTTGGGCCGAGGCATCGCCAACACTTTCCTGGGCCATAAGGAGAAGGCACTAAAGGATCTCACCCAGGTAAGCACTTCACACTTCTGGGGCACACGGATAAGGCTTCTCTCATTGACCTGACCAACTCGAGGGGCTTCCAATGGTAGTCATCTTTAGGGATAACTTGGCTGATTACGTTGTCCAATTTCAACTCTTCCGCACCCCTCTCAGCACAATACGTTGCCCACGTGTCACATTCTTTTGGTGACTGCAGGCTCAGCTGCTGCCCTCTTCCCTGCTTACACTTCTCTGCATCTCTCGAAACCCTTTCCCTCCTCCTCCACGCTTCCCCCTCCCCACGGTCCCACCCTACACTCTCAGGGCACAGAGCACTACCCACATGTGGCGGACTTCTGGCGACGCCGGGCGCACCTGCTGGCGGCCATGGGGAGGCAGGCAGACGCCCTGAGCGACTACTCTCGTGCTCTAGAACTCGAGCCACACCACCCTGAGACCATTCAGGAAAGAGGTGAGGGGTGTTTGAGTTGAATCAAGCATCGGCTACTCCCACGCTCTGCACCTCGAGCCACATCACCTTGAGAGATTGCAGAGGTGACCATGAGGGAGCGTCGTGCTAGTCTTGCTTGAGATTTGAAGATCAATGTTTCCGCTTTGGGCTGTACGTGTCCCATTCTTAGGGCATTTCACTCTGAGTTCAGTCATCAGCTCAACAGCGACGAAACGAGCAGACATCCTAACACACAGTCGCCCTAAAAGAATGCTATGCTCTGCTGCTCCCTCCGTACCGTGTGCCTTCAGGAGTGCTGGCCTTCCAGGCGGGTGACTTCTGGACGGCAATCAGTGACCTCACCGCCGCACTCAAGCGCCAACCCAAGGACCCCATGCTCATCCGTGCTGTGGTGAGTTTTGAGATGGCTTGATAGTTGCTTTATCACGCACCTCATTTATGACGCCAATCAGCCTCCTTGCTGCGTCACTCAAGCGCCAGCCCAAGGACCCCATGCTCATCCGTGCTGTGGTGAGTTCTGACTTCTGAGGCACCTCAACCGTCACCTTTTGCAGACCATGAGTGACCATGAGCATGAGCGACCTCACTGCCGCACTCAAGCGCCAACCCAAGGACCGCATGCTCATCCGTGCCGTGGTGAGTTCTGAGATGGCTCAAAAGTGGCAGTTTCACACACCTCATAGCACTGCAATCAGAGCACCAGGCCAAACACACTTTTGACTCGTCGACTCAAACTCATCCCCTTCCCTCCCCTCCCCTTCCCTCAATCAGGCCCTAAGCTATGGAGGAGCGGGTCAGTGGAGGGACGCGGTTGAGGTGATGGAGGACGCAGTGAGGCGGCACCCACGGAGTGGCTCTGCTATGGAGTGACAAACAAGGGCTGGTCACGTAGTGTAAAATTGGAAGCCTGCGGTACTTTTTTTGGTCTCTTCAAGCTCCCTCCTTCCCTCTCCTCCCCGCTTCGTTCAGGCCTTAAGTTATGGAGGAGCAGGGCAGTGGAGGGATGCGGTTGAGGTGATGGAGGAGGCAGTGAGGCGGCACCCACGAGTGGCGCTGCTGTGGAGTGACAAGGGCCGCGCGCACAAGGAGCTGGGCCAGGCGGACCTTGCAGTGGCTGCACTGCACAAGGCGCTTGCGCTGGAAGAGTGAGTCAAGGCGGGGTGACCAGGTAGGTGTGTGTGTGAAGGCAGATCTTTGAGTCGACTCGGATGTAAAACATTTGGGCCAGGCGGACCTTGCAGTGGCTGCACTGCACAAGGCGCTCGCGTTGGAAGAGTGAGTTGAAAGGGGGTGACCTGGTGGGTGACAGCAGAGTGTCAGAGGCAGCAAGATTGTTGGCAGGCAAAGGCACTGTGCACGGGGAGGTGGGGGGTGAGGAGGACGTGTGTGGGTTGGGAGGGGGCTGAGAACATATGCTGTTTGTGTCTACACTCACGCTGTTTGTGTATGTCGTCCCGTGTGTCTGTGTTCCTGTGTCTTCTTGTTGTATTTGAGCATGCATGTATGATGGCCGCATGCATGTATGCCTGTCTGTGGATGCGTGTGCGTGTGCATGTTTGCATGTTGGGATGTGTGCATGTCCGACACATGTGCGTGCATGCATTTTCACATGTATGCAACATGTATGGGTGTATTGGTGCATTTGTGCATGAGTGCGGTGAGTGCAGGTCACCAGAGGCATATCTACGGCTGGGCCTTCAGTTGCAGAGCATTGGGGACCACCGGTGAGACTGTTTACACAAGCCGGATCACAGGTGAGACTGTTTACACAAGCCAGACCACAGGCGAGACTGTTTACACAAGCCGGACCACAGGTGAGACTGTTTACATAAGCCGGACCACAGGTGAGACTGTTTACACAAGCCGGACCACGGGAGGGTTGAACCAGCTCAAGGAAGGGAGGGGAGAAGGGGAGGGGGTGGGGGAGGGGGGGGAGGGGGAGGGAGGGAGAGGGGGGGGGATGGGGGAAACGGGGAATCACAAGGGTCTTCTACATTCCTGGTCTATTGCCTCTCTCTGTTATCCTCTTCCCCCCCTTCCTTCCCACCACAGCTTCTTCTTCCCCTCCCATTATTCTTCTGGCCCACTTCCCCACTCCTTCTGTTTTCCCCTTGTTTTCATCTCAGCTTCGTTGCACACCCTGTCCTCGCATCATTTGTCTGCCTGTGCGTATCCTCTCTCCCCTCATCCCTCATCAGAAGCGTCATCAAGTGCAAGGTGTGCTGTGAGTTGACTCTAACACGTCCGTCTGCCTGTGTGCATCCTCTCTTCCTTTGCCCCTTATCAGAGACGCCATCAAGTACGCCCGCAAGGGGCTGAAGCTCAAGCCAATGGACATTGAGCTCAACTACCTGGAAGCTTCCTCGCTGCATGCAGTTGGGGACTACAATGCTGCAGTAAGATTTGCCTTGTATTTTCATTCATTCCCATGGGTTCGAATTGCTTTAGCATGGCATGGGTGGTTAGTCATGTCTGTCATCTCATGGGTACTGAGAAACAGAATCCAGCATGGATTCAGATCGCGTTTTGCGTGCAATTCACGGGTTCGTATCGCTTTTACACATGACTATCATGAATATTGAACTGAACTTGCCACCTTCTTAACCCGCCTACTCCATTTCCTTCCCCTCCTCAACCCCACCTCCCCTCATTTTCCCCGCCCCAACACGGTATGCATATGCACTAATGGCTGTTGCAGATAAAGCAGTACAGTGTGATTCTATCATTGCCTGCTCAAGCAGCCAGCGAGTATGCGCAGGTCCAGCAGTCCTTGGCCTTCTATCAGGTGGGCCCCCCATGATTTTTCCAGCCCTCCTTGCTGCCACTCCCTCCCTTCTCTCTTTTCTCTTGTTGTCGTATCCTTCACAGCTTCTTCAATACCCTCATGGTTTCTCCCAGCATACCACAAACCTTCCACGCCCCTTACCTGTGTAATACCTTCTCCGTTTCCTCCCTCCTTGCACATCCTCAGAGGGACATTGCCACGTACACATGGTCCAAACTTGCCCGCCCTTTCCTCGACTTCCAAATTGACCGAGACCTGGATGTCAACTTCAAGGCATGTACCACCCTTGCATGCTCCAAACAAAAACTCTCATCCCTGTCGCATGAGTGCTACATTGATGTTCTTGTCTTGCGTTCCTGTCCGTCCCTCTCCCTTCCCTAACAATATCCCCCCCCCCCCCTCCTCCTCTTTTACTTTGTTCGCCATCCTCCCACCATGTTCCGTGTCTGCTCTCTTTCCTCCTTCCTCCAATCCATCCCCCGTTCTTTTTTCCTCAACTCCCCTCCCCTCCCCTCCCCTCCCCTCCCCCGCATCCACAGGAGGCTTGGATCCGCCGGCTACCACCCACAGTGCTGCCCCGCACATACCGCCCCCTAGACCTCCCCCCAGGCGCCAGGAGCAAAGGCAAATCCCCTGGCCTACCTGAGCTGTCAGACGGGGCCCTGGAGCTTATTGAAAGGGCGGATGAGATTGGGAAGCGGACGCAGTACTTTCTGGACGGCTTCATGCCCAACAAACGCCAGGTGAGCTGGTGACAAGTGTTCATGACTATTTAGTCTAGTTTAGTCCGCCTTGGCTTGTACACCGTGCTATGTTACGACTCTTGAGCGGGTAGAGGAAGCAGGGGCACAATCTGCAAGGGGAGCATCGCCTGTGCACATGGCCATGTCAGCGCTCTTCATTCCTTCCCTTCCTTGCTGTCGTCTGTCTGCCCCGATCCAATCCTCCTGCAGTTCCGCATGGCAGGGCTGGCAGCTCTAGACGTGATGCAGCAGGTGAGAACCGTTTATTCCCGTCCCATGCCCTTTCTCTTGCCCTCCCCACTCGCTGCATGTAGCGTCAGTTCCACACATCACCTCACCTCAGCAGTCGATCTCTACCCGTCTCTATCATGCACTCATGTCTCTTTCTTGCACGAGCCCTACAGCCCCACCCACCTCACCTGACCTGAAGGATAGCCGCAAGGCACCATCCCACCAGGTTCGTCTTCACTTTCCCCCTCCCATCCCCTTTCCCTTCCTTCTTACCTTCCCCATTCCATGTGTCTGGCATGGCAGGTTCGGACTGCATGGGAGGGAATGGCACAGGAGGGCGAAGAGGGCGAGGCAGTGGAGGGAGGAGTGATAGAAAACGGAGGAGAGGAGGAGCGAGTGGATGAGGAAGATGGGTCCGGGTCCAGTCCTCAAGGATCAAATCCACGGAATGAGATATCTGAACAGCCCAGGCGAAGGAACAGCAAGAGGGGAAATCTGAGTAGAAGGGCTTTCACGGACTCTTTCTACAAGCTGACAAGAGGAGGCAGCAGGAAGGGAGAGAAGGGCGCAAAGGGAGGGTTGAAGGGGCGTGGAGGTGGGAAAGGGGGAGGGCGGCTGATGTCAGGCTGGAGGGACGTGTTCAATGTGATTGTGCCGTGGAGGCAGATAGGCGAGCCCACTGATCTTGTGGCTTGGATCGACCTGCTGGAGTGAGTACCTCAAGTGTTTCTCTCTATCACTGCCCTTCCAACCCTGAGTGGGCACGGACCTTGTGGCCTGGATCGACCTGCTGGAGTGAGTACCTCAAGTGTTTCTCTCTATCACTGCCCTTCCAACCCTGAGTGGGCACGGACCTTGTGGCCTGGATCGACCTGCTGGAGTGAGTACCTCAAGTGTTTCTCTCTATCACTGCCCTTCCAACCCTGAGTGGGCACGGACCTTGTGGCCTGGATCGACCTGCTGGAGTGAGTACCTCAAGTGTTTCTCTCTATCACTGCCCTTCCAACCCTGAGTGGGCACGGACCTTGTGGCCTGGATCGACCTGCTGGAGTGAGTACCTCAAGTGTTTCTCTCTATCACTGCCCTTCCAACCCTGAGTGGGCACGGACCTTGTGGCCTGGATCGACCTGCTGGAGTGAGAGTGCAGCTGTGTGTGCGAGCGACCTTAGTACTCACCACCACCCTGCCTGATTCCGAGGTTGTGGGCGTTGGAATCATTTTTTACTGTCTGTGCTGTGCGTCTGTGTTGCTGTGGTGCAAGCAGCAATGAGATCGAGAGGGGGTATGGAGGCCTGACAGCCCTCCAGGTGGGCCAGATGCAGAACGTCAAGTACTACCCACTCACGGACAGGTGAGACCCAACAGAGCCCTGTATGACGGTTGTGTTGATTCAAAAGCCACCACTACATTGAACGATTTGTGGTCCAGTTTAATTAGCTTAGCTTGAGAGGTGTGTCTTTCTGTTGTACCAGCACATCCCTGTTGCCATCACGCATTCTTGCACACATTGCATCTGCGAATCGTTTATCACCTGTCTCCCATGGACCAATCAGAACGCTGGAGGTGGTGAAGCAGCGGTTGCTGGAAGCAGAGGAAGCTTTCAACGCGACAGGCATGACCATGAGCTCTAAGAGCGTGCACGGGCTCATGGTAGGGGATGGGTCATGGTATGGTGCGATTCAATGTCATGCTATAGTGTGGATTCATGATATGTTCTGCTGTTCCCACTCTGTTTTCCTTACTATTTGCCTTTGCCTTACTGTCCTCGCTTCTTTTCTCCCTCCCCTCCTCTGCGCTCTCTCCACCTCTCGTCCAGGGTGCGGCACTGGGAGGCAAGTTCAGCATTCCAAAGGCCATCTATGGTGAAAAGGTAAGCCAAAGGGGTTTCATTTGGATGTCTGAGGTTATATGCTGATGTATCGGTGAATGGTTCGGAAATGTGAGATAGGAAGGTCTGATGCAAGCGAGTGGACGGTCTTTGTTTCTTCCGATTACACAGAATAATTTTCCCTGCACAAAATGACTCTCCTTCACTGCCATCTGCTCATTCTCTTACCTGCCCTGTGGCACCAGATCAAGCGGGCAGCGACGCTGCAGGAACTCCATGCAGTTGTGGGCTGCGATTTCTTCATCAACTCGAAGTGCTTCAGCGAAGCCATTCCAGGGTCAGTAGGAGCAGTGCGCAGTGTGGCATTTATACTGTGCGTACGATTTGGCAACTATGGCCGATGGGTGTCTTGTTGCGATGGCTATGCTAATGGTCATGGTGATCTGCTATTATGGATAATGTTGAATGGAAATGCCGTGGAAAATGCTTATGAGCTAGTCTATGTTGCCTCAACATTGTTTCTTGCTGTCACCATTCGTAGCTGATCGATCCTTTATTTGTATTTTTTTTGTTCTTTAAATTTTCCCGTCTTCTCTCTCTGTCTTCCTCTCCCTCCCTGCACGTCTCCTCCACGTCCGATCTCCCTCCTGTTGCCTATATGGCTCTGTGGTGCAGCAAAGCTATTCTCGGGACAGAATTCTCCATTGTCGCATCGTGAGTGGGGCACTAGCCCTTCATTGTTACTTATCCTGTGGCCTTGCGTCTTTTCTGCCTCTGGGGCTTTACCTGTGCTCACTCGTTTTCTTCATTTTCCTCTGCCTGCCTGCCTGCATGTGCGCATGAAAATTTCGTCTTTCTGCATCTGTTGCCCCCACCCTCCACTCCCTCCCCATTTTCTTCCTCTTCGCCCACCACTGCATCTATATTGAACTCACTTATAAGAATTTCAAGAAGAAACGTCTTTGTTAAACACTGCTGCATCTGCTGCCATCCTCCCTTCCTCTCCCTGTCCATTCCTACAGCGCTCGGTCGTTTGACTTTGCCATTCGCACGTCAGTGGACCGGCCGCGATGGAAGCACCTTGACTTGGAGCTCACAGGAGCATGGGAGGTGCGTGTGCACTGACGATGCTAGCTTGGCGCGATGATGCTAGCCGGGCGCCATGATGCCAGCCGGTCATTTCTTTGCTGACATCTCCACATCTACCAGTGCTGCGCAGCACAGGTGCTCTGGTAACTCCCTTCTTGCATTGTGACGCCTCTGGCCAGTCCCAGTGTGTGGCAGTGTTGCATGCACTGATGCCTCTGATTCCCCATCCTCCCTCCCACCAGGCGCTGTGTGCCGCAGTGCTGGACGCACACACAGAGGCAGCGGACCCGCATCGCTACCGCCAGACGATTCAAGACGCCATCCTCCGGTTGGGGTACTTCTGGTCAGTACGGCCCACTGTGCATGGCTGTTCTTGCCCGGAGATTGGGGTTACACCATTCTCTGAATGCCTGGTTCGGGGTATCTCTGCTGCATTTTGGCCTCAGTTGTGTTTGACTGGTGAACTTATGTTGCCTGCAGGTATCAGTTCATGCCTCTCACTAGAGGATCTGCCATGGTGGGACTGATCTCCATTCTGGGTCTGTCCCTGGCTGCTGACATGGAAACCACCGCTTTCATCCCTAAGGGAGTACAGGTATGTGAACACATACCTTCACAGGCATGGGGCAAGATGTCTGTGTCCTAGAGATCGTTCCTCGCATTCGATTGTTCGTCACATTCGATTGTTCTTTACTGTACAGTAATCATGGCGCATCACAATTTTCCGCATTGCAGGTTGATTGGGAAGCGCTGCTGTCTCCTGCGTTTGCCAACTTCAATGATTCAGTGGCGCCATGGCTATATGAGGGTGTGAAGCCTGGACCTTGGGATTTGCCCTTAGTGCGTGATGCACTTCCCACCACCCATCATGTTGTCAGTGCTCTCAGCAATTACTATTGACTTGTCAGCCATTTACATGTATGGTATTTGTTTCGATGCTCCAATTCGTGGCAGTGCAGATTTTGGAGTAGTACATATGAATTGCTGTTGGCTGAAATTTACAAATGTACGCAAGCATCAACACTAACTCTCCGCTTCCAGCTCAATAACGAGATTTCTACTGCATGGTGCCGGAAAACGGCTTTTCCCTCCAGACGGTTGACGTGACGGTCAACTCAAATTCGAAACTGTGGTCTGACACTTGCACAAGATTCGAGCCAGTAGTGTTGCTGCCTGTCAGCAAACCTCACCTCACCATCACCACCCCATCCAACGCCGTAGATATCAGGACCAGCCCCCCCGCGAAACCACGGTAACATTTCTTGCACAGCGGTATATGGTAACTTACAAACCCTGGCGAAAAGTCTGTCCGCTCGCCAGCTCTTCGGACAGTCTTCGCGGCTCCCCGCCGTTCAGCGCACCTCCTCCAGCGACCCTCCAAAGGCTTCCCGCCTCGTCAGCGCAAAATTCCCGCAACCAGCGTCTGCAGCAGCAGCGGCGTCTCCCGCCTTGGGGCTGTACTGGAGAGGGGACTTTCTCGGCTTGCATGGCGACTCGGCTCCACCCCCCTCCTCCCCTCACCTCCGCTGACTAGGGCATCGCATTCAGTTGGAATGGATCGACCGAACCTTTTTCGCGTGGTACCGCGTAAAAAACGTGAGTAAACAAGCTCAACCGAATTACCGAACTTGGATCAGTTGGCCTCGTACGCTTCTGCCTGGGCTTTCCTGAGTGACTGAGCTGATTGGTGACTCCCCTCACTACAGCTCGCCTCGCATTCCCCACAATCCCTCTTGCTTGGTCCTCCGTGAGTTGTTTCGAGTCAAGAGCCTGCTTGCTAACTCCATGGACGTCCATGGCCGCTTCTTCAGTTGTTACGACGCCTCTCGTGCGTCAACGCTAGCGGTCACGTCGAACCAATCTTAGGCTTCAGATTAGACGCTCTACTTTCTAACTGGACGACCGTGATTCGTTCCCTGGACGACGACTGCTAGAATGTCGAATCATCCTCTGGATCTTGTTTAGCGACCATCAACACGTTACTTTCTTCAACTCCAGTTTCCGATCAGATCCTATGATTAAACGCCACGCTCTTGACGCTCTTTCGTTAGATATCATTCCGCGTCACGCTCGCTCGCAACCGGCGTCGCGTCGCATTTTGAGGCTTCGTTTCGCGTCGGTCATAATTCGTCCTACGACGCCGTTAGCGTGATTAGGGTTCTGTGTCGGACGATAACATTCAGCGTTTCACGCTCGCGACGTTGCGACGGAAGAGGAGGAGTTTCATTCGGCTTCGTATGAAGCATAGAGCATCTATTTTTCTTCCAGACATCGAATACCGCAGAATCTGCAGCAAGCACCGATTGGTCTCGCAGCATGCATGAAAACAACGATCCATAGACGCCAGCGACGTTAACGAAGTCGACGACGCGACGACGTCTGAAGGTGACGGATACAGCTACTACGGAAGAGCAGCTTCGTAAGGAGAAGGCGGAACTATAGTTCGCGAATTCGTCGACGCTCGCGAATCTCGCGAATGCATGGATGCATGGCGGAGGAGATCTCGACGGAGGGAGAGCTCTTAACACTACCGCGGACGCTCTTCGTGAAGTCGACACGGATACTCTGACCAAGCTCGCGAAATGCTCGACGGAGAAGCTCTTTTCGTCACCTCCGCTAGGAAGTACGACGGAGGAGAGCTCGCGAGGCCGTCGACGCCCGCGATGGTAGTCCGACGGAATCGGACGACGGAGGATGCGCTCGCGATGGAGCTCGCGAAGGCGCTATCGAAGACGCTAAGGCGTCGACGTTCGCGCCGCTGCCACGTTTGCGCATCTTGTTGTGGTGAGTTTGCGTGTCCAAACCCCAAACGCTTGTTTGTGATTTGTAGGGTAAGTCGTTTCATGACGCGCATATATTCCAAATTTATCTCTCTTGGCGATCACGTTTCGTTTGATTTCATCTCGCGTATTTTTCATTTCCGTTCCTATCATGGCGTATCTCACTCGCTGCGGCTTTCAAATGTCTCCGTCCGTGCAGGAGTAGGAGACGGTTTCCTGGTGAGCCGTGAACCGGTCTCTCACCAAGGCGGTGCTGCTCTGTTGGAGGCGGTGCTGCTGTGTTGGAGTGGGTGCTGCTGTGTTGGAGAAGCGGCGAGTGGAAAAGCAGCAACTGGAGAAGCAAGCAAGTAACTGGAGCTCTTCCTTTCTTCTCCTCGCCCTCTCATCTTCCTCCTCATTCGCGTTTTCCACTCACTTCAGTGGTTTCCAGGCATTCGTTTTTTTTGTCGCATTCCACCGTCTTTTCCTCCTTGCATTCGTTCAATGATAAACCTTCCCTGTGCGATTGCGGCTCTCTGCTCACTGTGCAGGGCGTTAATCTATGGCAGTCCATGGCGCTATGGCAGTCCATGGCGCTATGGCAGTCCATGGCGCTATGGCAGTCCATGGCGCGATGGCAGTCCATGGCGCGATGGCAGTCCATGGCGCCATGGCAGTCCATGGCGCCATGGCAGTCCATGGCGCCATGGCAGTCCATGGCGCTATGGCAGTCCATGGCGCTATGGCAGTCCATGGCGCTATGGCAGTCCATGGCGCTATGGCAGTCCATGGCGCTATGGCAGTCCATGGCGCTATGGCAGTCCATGGCGCTATGGCAGTCCATAACGCTATGGCAGTCTATGGCGCCATGGCATTCCATGGCGCCATGGCAGTCCAAGGCGCTATGGCAGTCCATGGCGCTATGGCAGTCCATGGCGCTATTGCAGTCCATGGCGCCATGGCAGTCCATGGCGCTATGGCAGTCCATGACGCTATGGCAGTCCATGGCGCTATGGCAGTCCATGGCGCTATGGCAGTCCATTGCGCTATGGCAGTCCATGGTGCTATGGCAGTCAAAGAGCAAGGAGGCAAGGGGAGCGCACGCAACGGGAGCGCGCCTGCAGGGGAGCGCAAGGGTAGCGCACACAAGAGGAGCACGCCTGCATGCTCCTTCGACCCTCTTCCATCCGAGCTATCGCACTCAGTTCGCACCACTCACTCGCTCGCACTCGTGCCTTGCACTGCTTGCTTGCACTCACACGCTCCCTGCTTGCATCCTTCCGTTTTTCCTTGCTGACATGCATGCCGTTTTTCCGTTAAGTCACTTGCGTACGCCGTGCTAATCGCCTTCCCTCTCACCTCCCTTCTCTGCTCCGTCCACTTTTCTCCCTCTTCTCTCCTCCTGCCAGCATCCCTCTTCCTGCCATCCCTCTGCCAGCACACCCACAGGCCGGCAGCCACAGCGAGCATGGAGGAGCAGTGCAAGCAGCGTGGCGATTGAACAGACGAGTGGTGGGATGACGCAGCTGGCCCTGCTGACCACTGCCCTCGCCCAACCTCCCAGCAGCAGCAGCAGCAATTCAGCTGACAGCAGCAGTGGCTGGCAGCAGAAGAGAAGACCAGCAGTGACACCAGCGGTGGCAGCAGCGGTGGGAGAAGGAGAGAGGCCCGCAATGCCACTACAGCTGACAGCAGCAGTGGCTGGCAGCAGAAGAGAAGACCAGCAGTGACACCAGCGGTGGCAGCAGCGGTGGGAGAAGGAGAGAGGCCCGCAATGCCACTACAGCTGACAGCAGCAGTGGCTGGCAGCAGAAGAGAAGACCAGCAGTGACACCAGCGGTGGCAGCAGCGGTGGGAGAAGGAGAGAGGCCCGCAATGCCACTACAGCTGACAGCAGCAGTGGCTGGCAGCAGAAGAGAAGACCAGCAGTGACACCAGCGGTGGCAGCAGCGGTGGGAGAAGGAGAGAGGCCCGCAATGCCACTACAGCTGACAGCAGCAGTGGCTGGCAGCAGAAGAGAAGACCAGCAGTGACACCAGCGGTGGTAGAAGGAGAGAGGCCCGCAATGCCACTACAGCTGACAGCAGCAGTGGCTGGAAGCAGAAGAGATGACCAGCAGTGACACCAGCAGTGGCAGCAGCAGTGGCAGCAGCGGTGGCAGCAGTAGGGAAGGCTAGCAGTGGGGGCAGATGCTAGCAGGGAGGCTAGCAGTGGGAGCAGATGCTAGCAGGGAGGCTAGCAGTGGGAGCAGATGCTAGCAGGGAAGGCTAGCAGTGGGAGCAGATGCTAGCAGGGAAGGCTAGCAGTGGGAGCAGATGCTAGCAGGGAGGCTAGCAGTGGGAGCAGATGCTCGCAGCGAAGGCTAGCAGTGGGAGCAGATGAGAAGAGAAGACCAGCAGTGGGAGCATATGCTAGCAGGGAAGGCTAGCAGTGGGAGCAGATGCTAGCAGGGAAGCTCAAAGCTCAAAACTTTGCAAATGGTGAGTTTTGAGTGACGTCTCAAAACTCGCGCCCCCTCCTTCCTCACTTCAGATTTCTTGCCGTGAGCAAAACTTGGGTTTTGAGAGCAAAACGTCTCAAAACTCACACTTGTTGTGGTTGCTATTATTGTTATTGTTTTCTCCTGTTGAGCAGCACATGGAGGAGCAGCACCTTTAAGTGAGGCGCTTTGACCCCCTGGGGGGCAAAGGATCAACACAAGGAGGAGCAGCACCTTCAAGTGAGGCGCTTTGACCCCCTGGGGGGCAAAGGATCAACACAAGAGGAGCAGCAAGAGGAGGAGCAGCACCTTCCAGTGAGGCGCTTTGACCCCCTGGGGGGCAAAGGATCAACACAAGGAGGAGCAGCAAGAGGAGGAGCAGCACCTTCAAGTGAGGCGCTTTGACCCCCTGGGGGGCAAAGGATCAACACAAGGAGGAGCAGCAAGAGGAGGAGCAGCACCTTCAAGTGAGGCGCTTTGATCCCCTGGGGGGCAAAGGAACAACACAAGGAGGAGCAGCAAGAGGAGGAGCAGCACCTTCCAGTGAGGCGTTTTGACCCCCTGGGGGGCAAAGGATCAACACAAGAGGAGCAGCAAGAGGAGGAGCAGCACCTTCAAGTGAGGCGCTTTGACCCCCTGGGGGGCAAAGGAACAACACAAGGAGAAGCAGCAAGAGGAGGAGCAGCACCTTCAAGTGAGGCGTTTTGACCCCCTGGGGGCCAAAGGATCAACATAAGAGGAGCAGCAAGAGGAGGAGCAGCACCTTCAAGTGAGGCGCTTTGACCCCCTGGGGGGCAAAGGATCAACACACGAGGAGCAGCAGGAGGTGGAGCGGCGCCTTCAAGTGAGGCGCCTTCAAAATATAATTTCTGTGCCGCCCCTCTTCTAGGTACAGCAAGCATCAAGGGGCAACACCAAGGCAGGAGTAACACGTGGACGCAGCAGCGAAGGATTAAATTTGTGCCGCCCCTCTTCTAGGTACAGGGGCAACACCAAGGCGGGAGCAACACGGGGATACAGCAGCTAGGACCCGCTGTAAGCTGCAGTCTTGTTTGCTTCTTGTGTCGTCTCATGCCTAATGGTGTTATGTGTGTGTCTTCTTGTCTAAGCCGTCACGAAGACATCAAGACGCCTCCAGCCCCCTCGGTAAGTGCTCTCCAAGTTTCTGCTTTCTGTTTTCCACACGTACTAATGTCGTTGTTGCTTCCCGTTTCAGACAGCCGCGAGACTTCACGACTTCAAGACCAGAGCAGAGGAGGCGTGGAGGAGAGGAGGCGTGGAGGAAAGGAGGCGCGGAGGAGAGGAGGTGCGGAGGAGAGGAAGCGCGGAGGAGAGGAGGCGCGGAGGAGAAAAGGCGCGGAGGAGAGGAGGCGCTAAGGAGAATTCCCTGCCATTGCACTGCCGGTGAGCATCTTCTTTCCTGCCTTCGTTTTCTTGATCCTTTGGATGGATGGTTGTTGCTCTGTTCGCTTGGCATTGGCTTTGAATCAGTTCTTGGCCCTGGGTGCAATCGCTGGGTGCTCATAAGCTTTTCCTTCCTTCCTATTCCGCAGGAGATGCATCTTTGGGGACGGAGCAGCAGACGAGGAGGAGCAGAGGAGATGCATCAGAGGAGGAGGACCAGAGGAGAGCAGAGCTGCACTGGCCCCCACCGCTGCTGGCCTTATGGAACCAGTATTGGCAGGAGCAAAGTGATGGGACGGCTACTGCTACCTCCCGCGCTCCTACCTCTCTCCCTTGTGCTGCTGCTGCTGGGGCGACGAAACTGCTGCGTTGGAGGTGGAAAGGTGGTGCTGTGTTGGCAGCAGCAGCGACTGCAGTGGGCCTGTCAGCAAACAGAAATCTGCAGCAGCGACTGCAGTGGGCCTGTCAGCAAACAGAAATCTGCAGCAGCGACAGGTGCTACCTCCCTCGCTCCTACCTCTCTCCCTTGTGCTGCTGCTGGGGCTACGAAATTGCTGCGTTGGAGGCGGAGACGAGGAGCAAAGTAGCGATGGAGCGAAGAAGCACAGTGGTGGAGTAAATTTGTGATCCTCTTTCTTGCTTTATCTCTTCTGTTCGTTCAGATGCATGGTTGCTGCCATATTCGTTTCGCAAGTCCTTTCTTTCTTGCCTTATGCATGCTCACAATCCTTTCCTTCTTGTCATGTGAGATTATGTCCTTTCTGTGAGATTATGCGCTCATCAGCCCTGTGCCTGCCTCTTCCCATTTCACAGCAGCACAGGAGACGGAGCAGCAGAGGAGACGGCGCAGCAGAGGAGAGGAAGGAGAGCCAAAGGAGATGATGGCATTGGAGAGACATGGAGCAGAGGGCACGGAGGAGAAGGCACGGAGGGGGGAAGGCCAAAGGAGCAGAGGAGCAGAGAACCGCACAGCTGCGATTCCCCCCAACTCTGCTGGGCGCACGGAGGGGAGAAGGAATGGAGGGGAGAAGGCATGTAGGGGAGAAGGCACGGAGGAGAGAAGGAATGGAGGGGAGAAGGCATGGAGGGGAGAAGGCACAGAGGAGAGAAGGCATGGAGGGGAGAAGGCAAGGCGCGGAGAAGGCACACAGGCACGGCTGTGAAATTGACACCAGCAAGCTGCGAGCTGTTACTGCCTCCCGCGTGCTGCTGCTGGTGCTGTGAATTGATGGGACGGCCAGCAGTGGCACCAGCGGTTGCAGCAGCAGTGCGAGCAGAAGAGAGGCCCGCAGTGACATACTGGTTTCAGCAGCCGAGGCAGCAGAAGGGAATGCAAGCAGTGGTACCAGCGGTGGCAGCAGCAGTGTCAGCAGCAACTGAAGAAACACGTGAGTGACAAACATCCCTGTTTTTTCCTCCTTGCATTTGTCCGATTACTCCGTCCATCATTAGATCTGTCAATCCACTCTGTTAACCTCTCCTCTAATTAACCTCTCCTGTGCTATTGAATCGCAATGCTCTGGTCGCTGTGCAGGCACCACTAAGGCGCGGGTGGGAAGACGGAGGAGCAGCGATAGGAGCATGAGAAGGGAAGATCTGCTGAACTTTCCCATCTCCCGGAACGAGGCTTTCCTGGCGCTGTGGAGGGAATGACATGGGGCCCTCCCAGCTGGGCTACGCTGTCCTGGCGCTGCTGTTGCGTGTCAGGAGGAGTGCAAGCCAGTCCACGGGCGTGAAAGCAAAGTCGACGCCATTAGCTGCTGCAGCAGGGGAGCAGAGGAGACGGCTGGACTGCCATCAGCAGCAGCAGGGGGAGCAGAGGAGACGGCTTGCTGCCTGTGCTCATGGAAAGTAACTTTCCAGGAGAATGAAAGGGAGGAGAGGAGCAGGAGTTGGGAGGGGAACAGCAGAGTGGAGCAGAGGAGCAGTGAACAACACAGCTGCACTAGCCCCCACTGCTGTTGGTCGTACTTGACACAAGAAAGCTCGGGCTGTTACTGCCTGCTGCTGCCTTGTGCTACCTCCTTCACTCCTACCTCTATCCCCTGTGCTGCTGCCTGCTGGTTCTACCAAGTGATGGGACGGCAACTGCTACCTCCCGCGCTCCTACCTCTCTCCCCTGTGCTGCTGCTGGGGCTACGAAACTGTTGCATTGGTGGTGGAGAGGTGCTGCTGTGTTGGCAGCAGCAGCGGCAGCAGTGGGACTGTCAGCAATACCAGAAGACAGCAGCAGCAACAGGTGCTACCTCCCGCGCTCCTACCTCCCTCCACTGTGCTGCTGCTGGTGGTGTGATGAGAGGTTAAGGGGAGTGGAGCAGCAAAGGAGATGGCCAGCAACAAAAAGAGAGGCAGCAGCAGAAGAGAAGGCCACAGTAACTCCAGCGGTGGCAGCAGCATTGGGGGCTGAAGGGCATGCAAGAAGTGGCACCAGCGGAGGCAGCAGGGTGGGAGCAGCTGATGCTGCCTCACTCCCGTGTGCTATCTCCCTCGCTCCTACCTCCCTCCCATGAGCTGCTGCTGGTTCTGTGAAGTGAAGTGATGATGCAGATGAAGCAGACGGCGCAGATGAGGCACATGACGCAGATGGAGAAATGAAGCAGAGATGCAGCAAACCAGGGGATGGAGGAGAGTGGGGGGAAGCAGAGTGAGGGGGGAGCAGATAGCGGGGAACAGGGGTTGCAGGGGAAGCAGAGTGTGAGGAAGGTTGAGAGAGGGTTAAGGGTGAGGAAGAGCTGAGTGTTGAGAACTGCACAGGCTGCAGTGTGAGGGTGAATTAGAGTGAGGGTGAGTGTGAGTTGAGTGTTGAGAACTGCGGCAGGCTGCAGTGTGAGGGTGAGTTGGAGTCAGAGTGAGAGTGCGGTGTGAGGACCTTGTTTACTGGTTTGAGGCGCCTCAAATCCAGTTGTGAGCTGCCGGTGGCAGTTCTGTTGTGTCCTGCATTGCACTGCAGTGTTCCGTTCCTCCTCTCTTCCCTTCTCTGAGTTTTGAGAGACATCTCAAAACTCTCTAACACACTCTCTCTCTCGCTCTGTTCCTTACTAAACTTGTGAGTTTTGAGAGATGTCTCAAAACTCACGCCTTCCTCACTGCAGTTTAGCTGCAGTGAGCAAAATCAGGGTTTTGGGACATGTCCCAAAACTCTTTTGCATGTTCCTCAGATGGTCAGGAAGCAAGGATGGGCAGCATTGGATTTGAGAATTATTTTTACCTGCCCCTGGGCAGTATCCAGTATCTTTTTGTGTTCTGCCTCCCCCTCCAACAGGGTCCTAAGCGATGGTTCCCACCTCACCGCAGTGCTTGGGTGTAACGTTGGGAGCTTGCTCCTGGCGGCCAAGAGGAACCCCCCATGCATACCTACAGTGCATGGGTAGTACAATAGTACGACTAATTAATTATTTAATTATCTAGTGGACTATCAATATATAGTTCTCAATTAGTAGATATGGAACTTTAGTAGGCACGTTATGGAACTGCTAGTAGATAAAAGACTTTCTAGTAATTATGGAACGCTCTAGTGGTAGATGTTATGCTTTCTAGTAGCTGTGAACGTTCTGGTAGATTTAGAACTTTCTGGTAGAGCATACATATAATTAATGATCATTACGAAGTTTCATATTGTATAGCAATTATGCTCTTTCTTTCCCCGAAACGCGCCACGTTTCAAACACGCCATAGTCAATGCGAGATTTCGGTCACTAATGTCGGCGCGATCATGGTGGTACTAGCAGCAGATATTAGTGATAGCAAAATCGTGACGATTTGGAAGGTCTATTAGAGGCTTTTCGTAAACGCCCCGCCATGTCTTGTCGGTGATCATCTCCTCACCGCGCACATTCTCATAAAATGGATTCATCGCGAGCATACAGATTCGCGCCGTAGTCACCGCCCCAATAATGTGCTATCCTCGTTACAGGGATACACGCTGACGTCGGTGCGGACTCGTTACAAGAGTGCGACGCGGAAGCCGCTTGCGCGGCGATGGCAGCGAGAAAGGGCTCACGCTGCTGGTCGTCGGACGATCCCGTCTGACTTGACGCTGCCGGTGAACGAATTCGTAAAATTCGGAACATCAACGCTCGAGGTCTGGCCGTTGAAGCGTTATAGCGACGCGCGATTCTCGCTGGTTTTTGAAGCGCAATATCAGATCTCCGCTGTGAATTAACTAGGTTACGATGTTGCTGGCACATACCATTGGCACATGAATGCTAGTCCTTGTTAGAAATTGTTTCCCACGTTAGAAACGCCTCTCCCTTTCCCCCCTCTTCCTCCCCTCTCCCCCCCTCCCCTCCTCCCCTCCCCTCCTCCCATTCCCTTCCTCCCCCCCCCTGCTTTTGCAATATCCCCCGTTCTTTTCCTCCTCCCCTCGAGCGCGTAACGCTTCTCGCGCCCATCAACGGCGCGTTCACCTCCCTGCCGCCCGTCACGCGCCCGTCACGCTACCTCACGCGCCGCGCCAGCGTCATGCGCCGCGTGCTCGCCTTCCAGACTTTCGGCAGAACTACCGGCAGGCTAACTGGTGCGTGCATGCTGTGCTGGTAGTGTGTAACACGGGCTTATATGAAAACGCCCTTTAAAACACAATAAAGACCCGGGCTTATAAAAGAATGCCCACAAAAAGGGTCAATAGTAGGCTTATAAAACGCCAAGAACACACACACATAACAGGGACTAGTCCTAATAGTAGCCTCAAGTCTTGGAGACTTGGCAGGTGAAACCTTGGAAGAGAAAAATGTAGCTTCACCAAGAAGATAGTAGATGCTTGGAGCACTTGTGAGGGAAAAGTCTTGGACTTAGAAGTAAAATCCCATTTCCATTTGGTTAATTGGAAGTTGGGAGTTGAGAATGAGCTTGGTGAGCTCAATCCCCCCCCTAGACCTCCTTGGGGAGCTCCACTTCCTCCATGGCAACAAGGGCAAGGAGCTCCTTGGGGTGAGCTTGCTTAGGTGGCACAATGGTTGGATTAGCAACCAATGAGAGCAATAGAATTGTGATAAGAATGGTTATGTTACATGTTGTAACTTGTAACAACAATGTTCAATTGTCATTGGTTGGAATTCCAACCAATGTGGGGTTGGGTTGGATTCCAACCATGCTTGTCTTTTTAGTGGGTGGTTGTCCACAATTGTGGACCAATCACCACTCATCTCCTCCATCCTCTTCTTCCCGTAAGTCGATACCTTGCTTAGGTAGTGCTTTAGCTAGGAAACGCTCGTAGGGTAGGAGGGCGATGCGTTACACTCCTCCCCCTCCAGTTGGCAACGTCCCCGTTGCCTTGGAGTGCTTCTTGGGGCGAGTGCTGCGAGCACGACGCACCACATTACGGCCAGGGTCAACACCATCCACTGGCTGCGGGGCTGCTCGGAGAGCCAAGTCTTCCATGTAAGCTAGAACTGCTGTTTCAGTCAATTGTTCCTCTGGCTCCCAAGAATTGTGTTCAGGCCCATAGCCTTTCCGCTTAATGAGGAACTCACGTTTTGTTTTACGGCCGCGTTGTCGATCACGGTGCATGAGCACACGTTCGACTTCATAATATAGTTCCTCACCCAGGACGATGGTTGGTGGTGGTTGGTATGTGCCTTCGGCAACATATTTGTTTAACAGAGACACGTGGAAGACGTTGTGAATCTGCAAGGTATCTGGTAGCTTAAGCTTATAAGCCACCTCCCCAACCCGCTTGATAACCTCGAATGGCCCAATCCAACGAGGAAACAGCTTTCGTGCCCCAGGTAATTTGAGTCGAATGTTTTTCGTACTCAATAATACCTTGTCTCCCTCTTGAAAAGAGACGTCCCGGCGTTTCATGTCAGCATAAGACTTTTGGCGTTGTTGGGCAAGTTGCAACCAACGACGAGCAGACTTAAGCGCTTCTTGCTACTTGCCAATAAAGTCCTTAGCGGCTGGAATTTTCAAGCCACTGACCCCATGCGTAGCAGGTGTTGTGGGGTGCCGACCGCAATTTAAGATGAATGGTTTTTTGTGGGTGCTCTCATGCACCGAGTTGTTGACAGCAAACTCCACTACTGGCAACAACTCATCCCAATCATCTTGTGTTGGGCCAATAAACGAACGAAGCATTTGTTCAAGAGTGCGATTTGTGCGCTCGGTCTGCCCATCCGTTTGAGGATGGAAAGTAGACGACATCTTCAGCTTCGTCCCCAGTGTCCGAATGACCTCCTGCCAGAAACGGCTTGTGAAACGAGGGTCTCGGTCAGACACTAGCACACGGGGTAAACCATGTAAACGAAAAACATGTGCCACAAACAACTTGGCCGTATCTTCCGCTGATACGTCAGTGGTTGTAGGCACGAAGTGCACCATCTTGGTCAGACGATCTACGAAGACGAGGATCGTTGTATGACCATCTCGTGTTTTAGGGAGGTCAGTAATGAAATCCATTGACACACTCTCCCAGGGTTCATCAAGGATTGCAACTGGTTGAAGCAAACCACCGGGTTTTTGTGTGCTCGGTTTATTACGTGCACACGTGTCGCAGCGTGTAACAAACTGCTGGACTTCACTGCCCAACCCTGGCCACCAGTATACGTCAGACAATGCCCATCGGGTTTTCTTAACTCCGAGGTGTCCACTGTATTTACTGGCATGCACTTCTCGTACGATGTCATTCCGCAGGTTCCCCACATGTGGTACAACAATTTCTTTCCCATGCCACCAGAGGTCATGCTCCCACGAGAGATCCTTCGTATTCTGTGGGTTCTGAAACCAGGAATCAATCTGATAGCCTGTGCGGATTCGTTTCAGAAAACCACTAAAGGTAATCTCACTGACTCGGGCGACAGAGAGGATGCCAAAGTAAGCTGCAAGGACGGCAGCATGTTCGATGTCCTCTAGCCTGTTTGCTGCCCCTATAGGCTGTCTGCTGAGGGGATCAGCCATGTTTGTCGAGCCTGCCCGATATCGAATATCGTAGGTGAATCCGCTAAGGAGTTCAGCCCATCGGGCTTGGCGACGAGTGAGGGTGGCTTGGCTAGAAAAGTAGGTGTTTGGACAATGGTCAGTTGTGACAACAAAGTCCACACCTTCCAAGTAACATCGCCATGTTCGTAGCGCATGGACGACTGCCAACAGTTCCTGTTCGGAAGTCGTATAGCGCTGCTCTGCCGGGGAGAGCTTTCTACTCTCGTATGCCACAGGGCGTCCTTCTTGCAGGAGGACTGCGCCAATCCCTACTGTTGAGGCGTCTGTGATTACCTCGTAGGGTTTTGTTGGATTTGGTAATACCAGAACGGGAGCATTGGTCAACTTTTGTTTGACCGCTTCAAATGCCTGTTGGCATTGTCTGGTCCATTCCCACGCGGTACCCTTTCGAGTAAGTGCGGTCAATGGTGCAACAATGGTGGAATAATTCTCCAAGAAACGGTGAAAATAATTGGCTAAGCCCAGAAAGGACCTGACTTGACCCACGTCTTGTGGAACGGGTCAGTTCTCAGCAGCCACCACTTTCTTGGGATCGACTTTCAATCCACTGTTCCCCACGAGATGTCCCAGATATTCTAGTTCGCGCTTATAAAAGTGACTCTTCCATAAGCGAGCATAGAATTTGTGCTCTCGTAGTTTGTTTAACACCCATTTTAGGTGTTCTGTTTGCTCCTGTTCGGTCTTGGAATATACCAGTATATCGTCAAGGTAAACCAGGACGAACTGGCCGATTGCCTCACGAAAGACATCATTCATCGCCCTCTGAAAAGAGGCCGGTGCGTTAGTGAGACCGAAGCTCAGCACACGCCATTGAAAATGTCCAAACGGCGTGCGAAACGCTGTTTTGGGTATATCGTCGTTGGTGATGCGCAACTGATGGTACCCCTGTGCGAGGTCCAATGCGCTAAACCATTGGGCACCCTGGAGGCGATCAAACAGATCCTCAATGCGAGGCAGCGGATATCTGTTTTTAATTGTGATCTTGTTTAAGGCGCGATAGTCGACGCACATGCGTAGGCCTCCGCCCTTCTTGTTAACAAACAAGATTGGTGCTCCGTATGGTGACGCGCTTGGTTCAATCCATCCCTTTTTCAGATAATCCTCGATTTGTTGCTTAGTCTCTTCGCACTCAGCTGGACTGAGGCGATACAGAGGTCTAAACGGTGGTGCCTTCCCAGGCTCCACTGGAATGGTATGACCCACAGCGCGGTCTGGGGGAAGTCCGTCAGGAATTGGTTCGAAAACCTCCTTGAATTCCTCCACCAGAGCCTTCATCTGAGGAGGGAAATCCTCGATCTCAGGAGACGATTGTGTGGTTTCTTCTAGCTGTACCACAAAGAGTGTATCAGCTGATTTTGCATCTTGCCCAAATTGATTTGCAAGGGCGAACTGAACGTCGGGGCGATTGGAACGTGGGGCATCAACAATGTTTACATCCCCTGAAACATGCCACCGAACCACAACACCATTCTTAGCAAAAGTTACTGTGTTGTGTTGAAAGTCAAGGATGACCTCATTGGCTCGAAGCCAGTCCATTCCGAGAACAAGATCTACGCCTGCCAGTAATGGAAGGACGTAAACATTAATGGTCTCGTGATAGCCTTGAATTTCCATATTGATACGTGTCTGCCCTTTGCTTGGGATGACGCGATCGTCACCAAGACGAATGGGGCAAGACGGCCCTTCAACGAGGACCCCACGACTTGTGGCTCTGTTTCCATCAAAGAGAGAAACAGTCGCGCCCGTATCAACAAGAATTTTTTCTTCATCCCCGTCTATTCGACCCACCAGCAATAGGTTTTGCTGATGTTTTGGTCGAATGGGGCATGCAACGATGCGAGTTGGTGGGAGATAATAAGCCTTGACGTTGTGCTTTGCTCGACCATAGGATCGACTGTCAGGCCACCACATGTGATCTCCCTTGTCCCACGCGGCAAGTACTGTCCATCCCTCAAGTAAGGGGAAGTGTTTGCCTTTGATGGTTCGAGTCACCAGACTGACCGAAGTCAATGGGTGCTCCTGGGTGCAACGACCCACCAGGTCCATTACGGAGGGCAATGCGACTACGTTGCAGCAAATGACAGAGAACTTATCTCTGAGTGTTTCGATAGATAGTTGTGTAAGTGGGTGCAATCGAGGTAGGAAAACAGAATTTTCTTTCAAAGAAGAAGCAAACAAACAAGAGATTTTGCACTCAGCAAGTTTCTCTAGCTTTAATAGATCCTCGTCACGAGGGACGTAAGCTTCATCACCTCGATCTACGTGTCCAGCTAGGTACCCACAACCTAGTTGGACTTGGGAAAATCCTGACGCGAGCCTGAAGGTCCATCTCCCTTCTTTTTCGCCTGCTGCGGCTTGCCAGAATCCTCAGACCTTTTCAGCGTACGGCACTGCCCCCTCGTATGGCCAAACTTCTTGCAGTAGGTGCAGAAAGGAATTCCGTTCCTCTGCTGGCCACCCTTGTGAAAAGGCTTCTTAGGCTGTGGCCCATTCTGCTGGCTCTGCGGCTGGAATGGCCTCTTCTTCCAAGGGCCTTTCCCATTGGAAGGCTGCGCCGCATTGGTCTGGCCACTAGGGCCTTCACCCCCGTTCTGCAAGTGACCCTTGGCGGCATTAAGGCAGGTGCGGACGCTCACGTCAAGATCAATGACAGCTGTCTTGAGCTCCTTGTACGTAGTGTACTGGTTCTTGCCCAGCACGAGCCTCTCGCGAAGCCACTGGGGTAAGCCCTCATAGAACGACGACATTGCCTCGTTCTCAGTGAGAGCGACTGTCAGGAGTAACAGGGTCCGTTCGAACTCGTTGGCATACTCCTGCACAGTGCGGGTTCCACACTGCATGCTCTTGATGCGGCTGCGCACCTCCAGGTCAGTCTTTTGCACATGGAAAGTGTCTTTCATCGCACTGCAAAAATCTTGTGAAGATGAACGAACAGGAATGAATGACTAAGTCAGAGTTGGGTACAAATACAACCCTAGAAAGCTGTACCCCATATGTGCTACCCCACTATGGCCTACAAACATGCATCAGCTATAGTAATCTGACACACCCCCATAGGCAAAGTGGGGGAGAACAAGGGGTCACAAGACCAGTCAAGCAAAGCAAAGCAAGCTCAGGGTGGATCACAAAGTCACCACACAGTCCGAGCACAAGAGCAGGGCCAGAGGCCAGTTCACATGCAAGAGTACAGACACATATATATAAAGCTAGACAAGCAAGAGCAGGTATATATATATGTCACAGTACAAGTAAAGTCAAGAGGAGAGCAAGTGAGGCAAGACAGGCACAAGACCCAGCTGGGTACAGAAGCGCTGATGGTCACAAGGCGCGAGTGCCTTGGTGAGCACATCAGCAGTGTTGGCCTCAGAGGCTACGTACGCAAGTCGCAACTGACCACGCTGCTACAGCTCACGAGCAAGGAAGTAGCGGAGAGCAATGTGCTTCGTTCTGTGCTCCAAGCGCTGCTCTCGACACAAGGCCAGCATGGCCTTGTTGTCTACGTACAGCACTGGAGGAGAACGAGGCGGCTCTCCAAGGTCAGTCAGCAGGTAGGTGAGCCAGCGAAGCTCCTGTGCAGCCATGGCCCCGGCGTAGATCTCAGCCTCACAACTGGAGCCGAGAACCGAAGACGAGCGAGTAGACCGCCACGAAACAGAGCCGGAACCAAGGCTGAAGGTGTAACCCTGTGACGACCGCTGCGTAGCCTGGTCGTCAGCCCAAGAAGCGTCCGCGTGGCCTGTAAGGACCACTGGACTCCGCCCTCCAAGCACTAGCCCCATGCCCGACGTACTGCACAGGTAGCGCAATACCCTCTTCGCTGCAGCCATGTGCTCTGGTCGGTGTCTCCCAAGAGCAACATAGCGTGCAAGAATGCTCAGAGGGTATGCAAGGTCAGGTCGTGTGCAGGTCATCAGGTACATGAGGCAGCCAACAAGCTCTGCATACGGACCACTCGACTCTACGGACTCATCCGAAGGCGGAGCTAAGAGCGAGTGGCGAGTAGGCAGAGGAGTGGCCTGAGGCGAGGAGTACGTGAAGCCGAAGCGCTGAAGGACCTGCTGCACCATGTGTGACTGAGTCAAGGTAATGGTGCGGCGTGCTCTGTCCCGAGTGATCTGCAAGCCAAGGTAGCTGCGCAGTTCACCCACGTCTGTGCACGTGTGTCTCTTCAGCAGCTCGGACTTCACGTAGGCGAGTCCAGCAGTGTCCGCTGTGGCAAAGACCAAGTCGTCGACGTACACGAGGATGTAGAACGGCGGCAGGGAAGTGTCGGTGCGCAGAAACAGCGACGGGTCAGCAGTAGAAGGAGCAAACCCAAGAGCCGCAAGCGTAGTCCTCAGTGTGTCGTGCCACTCACGCGGTGCCTGGCGGAGACCGTAGACTGGCCGTCGGAGGCTCCACTGGGTGCTAGGAGGGAAAGTCCCAGTGAAGCCAGGCGGACGGCGCAGCCAGATCTCCTCGTGCAGGCTACCCTGCAGAAACGCAGTGCTGAAGTCGAGAGAGTGAAGCTCGTAGTCGCGCTGAGCGGCTATGTGCAGTAGCACCCGAAGAGTAGTCATCTTCAAGGTGGGAGAGAAGGTTTGAAAGTAGTCAACTCCCTGCCGCTGACTGAAGCCACGAGCAACGTACCGTGCCTTGAAGACAGGTGGAGAGCCCGGTGGCCGCTTCACCTTGAAGATCCACATGCCACTGACGATGTTCGCCCCAGGAGGGGGAACCGCGTCAACGTAGGTGCCTGTGGACTTCCAGGAAGCCATCTCTGCATCCATAGCTGCCTGCCACTGAGAGGAGTAGGGACCCTCTACGGCCTCCGCGTAAGAACGCGGAGTCGGGATGTCTAGTGCATCCGGGTCTCCCTCAGGGGCAAGCAGTACAGACGCGAGATGAGGTGAAGCAGCCGCTAGACACTGTAACTCCTCCTGCCTGTCCTCTAGGACGTCCGTGCCAAGAGCACACTCACCCCCGACGGACGGAGGACAGACAGACGCAGACTCAGCAACAAGACTAGCAGCGTAGTCGAGACGACAGCGAGCAGCAAAGTCGACGAGCTCAGCGACTAGAGCAGACGCAGCAGTGGACTCAAAAGAAGGGTCAGTGACGACAGTAGCAAGCAGACGCGTGACAGTAGGACTGGCAGCACGAAGAGAGTCCGACTCAGGGTCGGCAAGCGCAGGAAGAGAGGACTCAGGAGGAGAAGGCAAAGGGGCACGCAGAGGAGCAGTGGACGGACGCAGAGACATCCGGTGCGTGCCAGGGACAGGAGGAGGACGCTGACGCGAACCGCGACCACTAGCGCGAGCAGCACGAACCGGCGACGCGGGACGAGACGCAGGCTCACGACGCTCAGCAAGACCTCCAGTAGGACCAGTGTAAGGGGAGGGAGCAGGCAGAGGAGAGGAAGGCTCCAACAGTGACTGCGACTGGACAGGCTGTGGACACTCTACCGAAGGAGAAAGACCAAGAACCTGCTGTAGGAGCGGAACGAAGTACGGCCGAGGCCGCGCGGCAGCTCCAGACTCAGCAGGGACAGCACCAGCACCCTCAGCGACAGCACCAGCGCCACCAACACCTCCAGCGGCAGGACCTCCAGCAGCACCAGCAGCAGAACCACCGCCAGGACAGACAGCAGTAGTCTCAGCACCAACACCCTCAGCAGCTCCAGCTCCAGTAGGACCCGCAGGCCCAGCAGCTCCGGGACCGGCAGCACCAGCACCCTCGACGGTCGACGAAGCTCCAGCTCCAGCAGCACACCCCCAGCGGCGAGCAAACCACTCGCGCAGCTCCTGTGGAGAGAGGGGCTCCCGGCGAGACGCAGTAGCAGGAGAAACCCCAGGCTCAGCAGCACCAGACTCAGCACCCCCAGGCACAGCAGCTCCAGACGTAGCACCCCCAGGCTCAGCAGCTCCAGACTCAGCACCTCCAGGCTCAGCAGCTCCAGACTCAGCACCCCCAGGCTCAGTAGCTCCAGCTCCAGGAGGACCCGCAGGCCCAGCAGCTCCGGGACCGGCAGCACCAGCACCCTCAGCAGGCGAAGAAGCTCCAGCTCCAGCAGCACGCCTCCAGCGGCGAGCAAACCACTCGCGCAGCTCCTGTGGAGAGAGCGGCTCCCGCCGAGACGGAAGAACCGGAGAGCCCCCAGGTCCAGCAGGCGCAGGCTCCGCACCTCCAGGCCCAGCACCCCCAGGCTCAGCAGCTCCGGACGTAGCACCCTCCGGCTCAGCACCCCCCGACTCAGCACCCCCCGGCCTCGCACCCCCTGGCTCAGCACCCCCAGCAGCAGCACCCCCAGGCTCAGCACCCGCAGCAGGACCAGACTCAGCAGCAACCTCGACTGGCTCGACTGTGTCTACCTGGGACACACCTGAAGGGGCAGGAACCTGAGGGGGGAGGGGGTCTACCGGGGGGGGAACTGGTACCAGGAAGTCCGGTGGGGGGGGGAGGGAAGGAGTACGGTAGGGGAAGAGGCGGTAGAAGGGGACTGACTCGTCGAACGTGACGTCCTGGGAGGACAGAACACGACGAGAGGAGGGGTGGTAGAACTGCCATCCTGGAGCGTCAGGGGGGAAGCCAAGGAAGACACAGGGAGCAGCACGGGGGGACAGCTTGTCCGCAGACAAGTCGCGGACAAACGCCCGAGATCCCCAGACACGGAACGCAGACGCATCGCCGACCTTCCCCGTCCACAGTAACACTGGGGACATCGCGGGCCGGGAGACCCTGGGGTGAAGGTTGAGCTGATGCGCCGCGTACCGAACCGCAAACGGCCACAGAAAATGGGGGGCAGCCGCATGCATCATGGACGTACGAGCGACATCCATGACCATGCCAATGCGGCGCTCAGCAATCCCATTTTGCTGTGGAGAGTCCGGAAGCGTAAAGGTCTGGCGGATCCCCTGTGCATGATAGTAGTCTCGCAGAAGGCGAGAGGAGAACTCCCCACCTCGGTCAGAGTGCAGACGCAGAACAGGAAAGTCCGAGCCGAAGCTCCTCCTGAGCTGGAGACGAGCCTCGCGGATCCAGTCGATCAGCACCTCAGTGACAGCACCCTTGCTGCGCAAGGGGAAGACTGAGGTGTAACGCGAGTAGTCGTCAACCACCAACAGGAAGTAGCGCTCGTGACCCTGCCCACGGACGGGGGCCGGGCCCCACACGTCCATGTGAAGCGTCTGCAGAGGAGCCTCTGTCGGGGGAAACTGGGAGGAGTGAGGAGCAGCCCTGAGGCGCCCCTCGACACAGGGGACACAGGAAGGTCCTGGTCCCGAAGGAAGGGGAGGGAGAGACTGGGGAAGACCAGAGACAAGGACACGGGAAGCCATGCTCCGAAGACGGGGCAAGGAGGGGTGGCCTAGACGGTGGTGCCACAGGAGAGTCTCGTGAGACAGGAGGCGACACGAACAGGGGGCAGACTCAGGACCAGACCTGGACGCAGCAGCAAACACCTGACCCGACGCTGCTACCTGACCGGACGCGGGGACAGGAGGAGACTCAGTGGTCAGGGTGTAGAGGCTCGACCCCGGCCGACGCGAGAACGTGGCCAGGTGCCGGCCTGTGCGTGCGTCCGTGCAGTGGGTCACCCGCTGACTCGCAGGAGTGAACTGGTGAACCCCCGCATCCTGTAGGTCTGCACCACTCACCAAGTTCGTCGAGAACGAGGGGAGGTACAGGCCAGACAGGGTGCCCGAGGGGGCAGCCGGACACGGGAGGACAGTGGAAAAGTGAGCGAGGACAGGACCCCCTGAGGGGTCAGCCAGGGAGACTGCAACCGGCCGACCAAGCGGCGTGAGTGTGGTTCGGTCCCGAAAGAAGGAGCGAGAAGCCCCAGAGTCAAGTGTAAAGGTGAGGGAGGCCGAAGCCAACGCGGTACCTGAGAGCGCAGCCTCACCCGCACCTGAGGAAGCAGACTCACTAGCACCTAGGGCAGCAGCCGCACCTGTACCTGGAGCAGGAGACGCACTAGCACCCAGAGCAGCAGCCTCACCAGTAGCTAGAGCAGCAGGTCCTATACCTGGGTCAGGCGGGACGCACAGGGGACCGGCACGGTCAGCACTAGTAGGCAATGCATACATGGCAGTGAGAATAGCATCATAGTCAAGAGCATATATATCTACCCTCTGCCTAAGCAACTCCACCCAGTCCGGAAGCTCGGCCTCGTCGCCAAACACGGTATGCCAGGCGTCGCTCAGACGGGCGAAGCAGCGGGACTGTGTATGACTAGGTGTCCCACAAGGCTGACCAGTCCGAGTACCAGTGCGAATCACGTAAGAGCAGCGAACAGCACTAAGAGACCCTCCACTCTGAGCGTACCACTCACGAAGCTGGCGAGGCGTGAGAGACACGCGAGAGGGTCGCGGGAGCTGCATCTGGCCGCCACCACGAGTAGAAGCAGCAGGAGTGGTAGTAGGAGTAGCGCCGCCACCCCTACAGCCCCAACCATCGTACCACTCACGCAGCTGCTGGGGCGTGAGGGACTCACGCAGGCGTCGCTGGGGCTACATCTGGCTCCGCAAGTAGAAGCAGGAGCAGGACTAGCAGCAAGAAGGCAGGCAGCCAGGGAAGCCAAAAGGCAGGCAGGCAGGCAAGCAGGCGACGCGCAGCGTGCTAGCAGGGCAAGAGCTCACCAGTGGTGGGAAGAGTAGGCTCGGCGACTCAGCGGCTCGGCAGCTCGGCGGCTCGGCGGCTCGGGCGACTCGGGCGGCTCGGCGGCAAGGCGGCTCAGCAGCAGCTGCAGCTCAGCAGCTCGGCGACTCGGCGGCTCGGCGGCAGGGCGGCTCGGCAGCAACTGCAGCTCAGCAGCTCAGCGACCCGGCGGCTCGGCGGCAGGGCGGCTCGGCTGCTGGGCGGCTCGGGTGCAGGGCGGCTCGGTGGTGGGGCGGCTCGGCTGCTGCAGGTGAGCGGCTCGGCTGCTGAAGTGGGAGATGAAGGAGGAGGAGGCCACACACCTGCCACCCCCCTGCTGGCCTCTCCCGTCGCCTGTCGAGGCGACCTGAGGGGGGGCCGCTTGCGGCCCCCGAAGGAGCCGCGACGGGCGACGGGAAAAGGGGGGTGGTGGGGGCCGGTAGGTGCAGCGGCGGGGCCAGCAGGTGCAGTTGCGGGGCCAATAGAAGGGGACGGCGGGGCCGTCACGAAGGGACGGCGGGGCCGTCAGGAGGCGACCGGGCCGCGACGGGGCAGCTGGGCCGGGATGGGGCGGGGCCGCGACGGGGCGGCGGGGCCGCGACAGGGCTGGGCCGCAACGGGGCGGCTGGGCCGCGACGGGGCTGGGCCGCGACGGGGCGGCTGGGCCGCGACGGGGCTGGGCCGTGACGGGGCGACGGGGCCGCGACGGGGTGGGGCCGCGACGGGGCGGCTGGGCCGCGAAGGGGCGGCTGGGCCGTGACGGGGCGGGGCCGCGACGGGGCTGGCTGGGCCGCGACGGGGCAGGGGCCGCAAAGGGGCAGGGCCGCGTCAGGGTGGGGCCGCAACGGGGCGGGGCCGCTTAAGGGGCCGGGGCAGGGCCGTGTAGGAGGCCGGCGCGGGGCCGCGTAGGAGCCGGCGGCGGGGCCGCGTAAGGGGCCGGGGACGGGGCCGCGTAGGAGCCGGGGCAGGGCCGTGTAGGAGGCCGGCGCGGGGCCGAGTAGGAGCCGTCGGGGGGGCCGCTTAAGGGGCCGGCGGACAGGGCCGCGTAGGAGCCGGGGCGGGGCCGCGATGGAGCCGGTGGCGGGGCCGCGTAAGGGCCGGCGCGGGGCCGCGTGGGAGCGGAGGCGGGGCCGCGCGTACGGGCCGCGTAGGA